CGGTAACACTAACTTGTCCCAACTCTTACTATGTAAAAGAAAAGGTCTTCAAAATAATATGTTTGGATATCTGGCCCAGGCTTTATCTCACTGTTCCCTTAACTTGGCTGTTTTTGGAAACAGAATGGAGTATTCAGCGACATGATGTTTTACTGTCTCCCTTTCATTAGGGATGATATATCCTACCATGCACATAGTTATTTTTTGAACCAGTTAGTAACTTCACTGGCTACTTCTGAGCAATGCGGCTTAAATTCATTAAAAGTTCCTGGAATTGGGGCTGGGGTTGTAGCTTAGTGGCAGAGTGCTTGTCTCTCATGTATGAGGTACTGGGTTCGATCCTCAGCACCACATAAAAATAAATAAATAAAATAAAGGTAGTGTGTCCATCTACAACTGAAAAAATTTTTTAAATATAGTTAGTTCCTGGAATTTCATCAGCTGGAAGGAATACCAATTCAAACTATTGACAAAATTGAAGTTTTCATTGTTGCTCTGTACACTGTCAATCTGCTCGTTGGGAGCTGCCCTGGATGCAGACACCTTAAGTCCTGATAATGCAAGGGGTTCTGAACAATTACTGCATTCAGTCTGGCACGGTTAGTGCCAGGTCACAGTCACTTGGGCGTTACCCCAGCTCTGATAACAAGGTGTGGCTCCAGGAGTAGGCGTCACCCACTTGGGTTAAGTTACACTCACCTGTTCCTTTGTAATCCTATCTTTTTGCCCTTACTGGGATAGAATATTCCATGGAACCCCCCCCCCCCTTGTGTGTCCCCTATATAAGAATAAAGAATTCCAGTGGCTCTCCTTCTTTCCATGGACCCTTAAGGTCAGAGAGCTGTCTCAGATTCTGAAAAACTACTTCTGTGTGTTTGTCGTTTTCTTAAACTATTGGAATAGTCAGATTTTGTGAACCCAGCATTAGGTCACCAGCTAGGATAGATGGCAATATCCACTCATCAGATTTTCTGCAAAATTTAAGGGACTGAATGGAAAAAAAAAACACTTACTGGTTACATCTTGAAATTCACTTGTGGATTCTCACTTAATTACAAATCTATCATCATGGTTTGGGTATCTGACTGAAATCCCTTTTCTTCTGCAAAACCCACCATCTTATAAACCAAATAAATGTTTACAAATTGCTTTGCATTTTCCTGTCATTAATTCATAAGCATGTGGCTAAGTTCTAGAATTTTTTCAGGGACATGATGTTTTGCTGTCCCCCTTTCATTAGGGATGATACATCATCATGCACATAATTATTTTTTGAACCAGTTAGTATCATCACTGGCTACTTCTGAGCAATGCAGCTTAAATTCATTAAAAGTTCCTGGAATTGGGGCTGGGGTTGTAGCTCAGTGGCAGAGCGCTTGTCTTGCACATATGAGGTACTGGGTTCGATCCTCAGCACTATGTAAAAATAAATACAGAGTAAAAAGCACACAGTGGGACAATTCTTAAAGCACCATATAATAATCAAAGTGAAGCTTGTGATGGTTTTTCTATGTGGTAATACAAATCTTTCTTCTTTGATAGTCAAATCCCTTACCAAGAATAGTTTACCATTTAATGCATTTTGTAACCTCTGTATCAGCAAGTGTCTTTGGTTCAGAAGTTTGCTGAGTATATAGAATTATTTTCATTTTCTGATAAAGGGTATTTTTGAAGGCAAGCATAATGCTATGTGGAGGGGCAGAAGTAGTACATGATTGAATAATTTAACAACTATCCTGCATACAAACAAAATCACACTAATCCCTTCCCTATAATTCAATTCTTTCTTCCTCTCCCTCTCTCTCTCCATCTCTTTTTTGTTTTAGTACTGGCAATTGGATCCAGGGGTGCCTTACCATTGATTTATATCCCCAGTCCTTTAATTTTTTTTTTCTCTTTGGTACTGGGGATTGAACTGAGTCACATCCCTAGCACCCTTTTTTAATTTTAATATTTTATTTTGAGTCTCACGAAGTCCTTAAGGACTCATTAAGTTGCTGGTGTCTCAAACTTGCAATCCTCATGCTTCAGCCTCCCAGGTTGCTGTGATTACAGGTATATGTCACCATATAAATTTTTTTAATTTTGAGGCAGGGTCTCTCTCACTAAGTTGCTGAGGGGCTTGCTAAATTGCTGAGTCTGACCTTGAAATTGCAATCCTCCTATCTCAGCCTCCTGAGTCACTGGATTACAGGCATGGACCACTGTACCCAGTTTTCTATCCCTCTTTATATAGTCCTTTCTTTCAGGAAATTGGGGTTTTCAGGATTTCCAACTTCAAGAATTTGGAATTTGAGATTTTAATTGTTTAGGATTGTGATTTTCAGGATTTTGATCTTTAGAGGATTTTAGACTTTAGGGATTCTGATTTTTCAGAAATTTAACATTCCAGAATATGTGTTTTGATATTTTGATTAGCACGAGGACACACAATCTATTTTTTTTTAAATACCTAGGATTGAACCCAGGGGTCCTTAACCATTGAGCCACATCCCTGGTCCTTTTTCATATTTTATTTAGAGATAGGATCTCACTGAGCTGCATAGGGCCTTGCTAAATTGCTGAGGCTGGCTTTGAACTCACATCCTCCTGCTTCAGCCTCCTGAGCTGCTGGGAGTGCACCAGCACACCTGGTCTATTTTTCTTTTTATGGTAATTCAGTAAAATAGAATGACTGTGTTTCCTTATATAGAGGAACCAACCATAGTACAATTTATCCTGCATGTCTTTGGATAAAGTTGCAATTTTTTTTGCATCACCCCTGTATTAGTTATTTGTGACTGGATAAATTACTCTAAAATTTACCACCTTAAAACAATACATTTTCACCAGGCACCGCTGTGCATACCCATGATCTCATTGACTGTGAAGGTTGAGGCAGAAAAATTGCAAGTTCAAAGCCACTCCCAGCAATTTAGCCAGACCTTTTCTCAAAAAATAAAAGGAGCTGGGGATATAACTCAGTGGTAGAGTTCTCCTGGGTTCAATTCCCAGTATAAGAGGTGGGAAGCATTTTCATCATCTCAAAGTTTCTGAAAGCCAGGGATTTGGGAGCAGCTCATCTGGGTGCCTTCAGGAAATCTATGAAGATGAGTAAATAAAAACCTAAAAATGTTAAGATTTCCCTGGTGCCAAAAGAGAAAGAAGTATATAACGCATTTTTTTTTAAATATTTTTTAAGAGAGAGAGAATTTTTAATATTTATTTTTTAGTTTTCTTCATTTGTATGTGGTGCTGAGGATCGAACCTGGGCCGCACGCATGTCAAGCGAGTGCGCTACCGCTTGAGCCACATCCGCAGTCCCTCATTTTCAAAGCTAAATAAACCCCTTACTAGTTTTGCACCTTAGGCATGTCTTTCCTGGAGGCCTCTTTGAAATATGAATAATGAGGAAGAGAATGGTGCTCTGTCTCTCTGGTTGTGGGAATTTAGCCTAGATGCTGGCTCCAAGTTACGAAGTCCTCCTGCTTGTCAAAAAGATACAGGGACTGGGGATATTCCTCAATGATAGAACACTTCTAGCATGCCTGTGACCCTGGCTTTGAATCCCAATACTGCAAAAAAAAAAAAAAAAAAACTTTTCAAAAATAAATAAATAAAGTAACATATTTTTTTCCTTTGGGGATAAAGACAATTTATAGTTCAATGGATTGTATCTGCTTGGCTCTACAGAAGACTGAAATTTCTTTTTCTTTGGGAATCTAGTGGATTGTAGCAAACTGCCTGTGATAGCCATCACAATTGTTTTGAGGATTATTCAGTAATAAAATGTTTTCAGTCTTTTCTGCATTTTTTTTTTTTTTTTTAACCTACTGGGGATTGAACTCAAGGGCACTAAACCATTGAGCCACATCCCTAGGCTTTTTTTTTTTTTTTTTAGACAGGGTCTTGCTAAGTTGCTTAGGGCCTTGCTAAGTTGTTGAGGCTGGCTTCAAACTTGCAATCCTTCCGCCTCTGCCTCTCGAGTTGCTGGGATTGTATCTTTTCAGTGACCCCTCATCTAGTTAAAAATGCTCTAATATTTGCATTCAAAGCTGACTTGCCTAAAATCAAGAAAAATGAAATCATAATTAAAATTTTTAATTTCTTCTTAAATAGCAAACAAGAAACACTACAAATTGAGAGACTGCAGAAGAAAAGGCTTTATACTTTAGTTAAACTTTTAAGAGCATTTTTCTTTTACTCTTTTATGAATTCTGTGCTTTCATTTTGAACCAGTCCTGTAAATTATGTAGCAGAGCCTGTCTGCCAGCTCGGTTCTGTTTGTAATTTCTTGGATCTCTTTTCTCATCCTAGAGAATGTTCACTTTTCTACCTAATTTTGCATTCCCTTTCTTCTACTCTCTTCCCCCAGTTCTGGGACTAGAACCCAGGTTGAAAAGTGCTCTGCGGCTGAGTATTTGAATTCTCTCCTTTTTTTTTTTTTTTTTTTAAACTGGGGACTGGGGATTGAACCCAGGGGTACTTTACCACTGAGCTACATCCCCAAACCTTTTCATTTTTTGAGACAGGGTCTCATTAAATTACTGAGGCTGGCCTTGAACTTTCGACCCTCCTACCTCAGCCTCCAGAATTGCTGGGATTTCAGGAGAACGCCACCGTGCTCCCCTTGGATTCTCTTTCTTAAAGACATCCCCAGGAATGGTAAAATCTTTGGTCTCCCATATGAGCTGCATCCTCCACGACCTTGAGAGATGCAATACCGAATTATTTCCCTCTTTTTCACAATAAGCTTGTTAGAACTCTTATAACTAGTGGTAGGGGGAGGGAAAAAAGACAATCCTCCCAAGGGTGTGCCATTTCAAAAATTAAAGGAAATCGCTGGCATCCGAGGGGAGGCCGGAAGCCCAGGAAAAGGAAGTGGGCGAGCACTTGGGGTCCTCAGCCGCCCGCCCCTCGAGCTGCCAGGTCGGGCCTGAGGCTCCCGGGCTTCCCCTTTAAGGGGCGGGGCCAGGGCGGAGCCGGCGGCGGCCGGGGCTCCCAGGCTGCCCTGCGCGCGCGACGGCAGTTCGGCCACGTCCCTGGCCACGTCGCGCCCGCTCTCGCCATCTTCGCCGCTTCCTCTCGGGGGCCGCCGCTGCCGCTTGAGCTGCCGAGCCCCAGGGCTGCCGCGCCGCGCCGACCGCTGCCACCATGAATATCTTCCGGCTGACCGGGGACCTGTCCCACCTGGCGGCCATCGTCATCCTGCTGCTGAAGATCTGGAAGACGCGCTCCTGCGCCGGTGAGCGGCCGGGCAAGGCCCCGAAAAGCTGGGACGCGGGGCCGGGTCACCGGGAGGACCCGCCGGCTTCCGCTGCCCAGCTACCCGTCGGGCCGGCGCTGGGCCGACACACCCCCCCCCTGGCTGGCTCGCCTGGCGCTGGGGCCTGGCGTGAACCTTCGGCCTCTCTGTTTGGTGCCTGGGCCGAGCCGGGGTGTTGCAGCGCCGGGCCCCGCAGCGCGCTGGGTCCTTTCGCGAACTTGAGTGGTTGGGGCGGAGGGGCGCTGGCCGAATTGCTTACGGCCCTTGTTCTGCCTGAAAAGTTTGTAATGGGAGTGGAGGTCCAGCAAATGTGTCTCCCGCCTTGGGCTTTCCTGGGGCGCTTCTTCAGGCAGGGTCCCGAGTGGGAGGCCCGCGAATCAATGGGACTGGCGGGAGGAGGATGGGCAGGACCGCGTCGGCTCCGCCTGACGTGGCAGCCAGGCCACCCGAGGAGGTGGGGCGGCCAGGGAGTTGGTGCGAGAGGTCATTTCGCTCTCCACCCTGCCCGTTTAAAGACTGAGATTCTTATTAAATCTGTAGGCTATTGAGCCAAGCCTGGGCTTAGAATTGTGTAGGCTTCACCCAAGTCCTGGCAGGATAATGCCTGCCAAGGGAGGGGCCGTGGGAGGTGGGTCTTCTTAGTGAAATTCTTGGTGCCATTCTTGCTGCTTTGAGAAGCAAGCTAGTTTGTCAAACTCCGAATGCCTCCATCTAATAAGTGGTTCTCCTAAAACCGTGGCGTTGGGTACCGCTGAGGTTTCATGTGGTCTCATGCAGTTCCTGGCTCCACGTCACCAGTGAGTTGGTTCAGCCCCTCCCCAGGAGTGCACATTTTATACAAGCATTGCTGGGAGGTAGTGAACAAACCTTTCTTAGATAATAGCCATGGGGTTTTACACTTAATTAATCCTAAAAGCTTAAGAATTATGAATTTTTTACATAATTTCTTTAAATGCATTATTTTTGATGCTATGGCCTCAAAATGCATTATTTTTGATGTTCGGCCACATGAAATAGCTTTTGATTAACTCATGAACTTAATTTTTTTCAGTTAAAGATGGGTGTCTTAAAGGAAGCAGGTGGCAGAGATTCCCTTTACCTGGTTTATTTATAAAAATCTCCACATTTAAAGTAGCACCATGTTTTTGACTCTGTTTTCTGCAGCCCTCACCTGTCTCCCTGGAACATAGCTGAGATCCAGGAAGTAAGCAAAACCAAAAAAGACCTTTGAGCAATCAGAATGGATGTCACAAAGTCCATGTACTGAAACCATGTCTGACATGGAGGTGATCTCTCAATTTTTACATAGTGCTGAGAGGCTCAATTGCATGATTTCCAATGGTAGCAGATTTATTGCAGTGATTATGATAGCTAACGTTTAAGCACTAGCTATGTACTAAGTAGTCAGCTAAGTGCCTTTATACAGCTTATCCCAGGTGGTTTTTAATCTTATGAGGTAGGTGCCGTTATTCCCATTCTGAGAACAGAGGAACTGAGTCTTGGGGAATTGAGCAAAGTAGTGATAGAGCCAGGAATGCAACACAATCAGTAATTCACAATTAAGAGTTTTGAATAAATGTCTGCTTTGGGGTAAACAATTCTAGTTTAAATATTAGATGTCAATAGTGTAAATTCTTTTGTTGTTATTACACTGAGATATCATTTTTAATTTTTAGTTTTCTTCAATGTCTTTGTATGTGTCTCTTCATCTTCTTTCTCATATTTCTCAGAATCCTCTCTTCTGGCAGATAGTTAAATGTTGGAGTGTGCTGTCTCCTAAATTTGTATCTAAACTAAGATGTTTGATTGAATTTAGTACAACTCCAGAAATAGAATTCTTAAAGGAACCTTGAGTAACAAAGAGAAAGTGAAAAGATTTGCTGTGTTGGTCATTTTTTAATATTCACTATTTACATTTGGGAGATTTAGAGCATTAACAGAAATATAAAGTACTTCAGCTAAAATGCTAAGAAAGAAAGAAAAATAGATTAGTTTGTGTGTGGTTCCCAAGTATTCCTCAGGTATTAATAAGCTATTCTTATTTGCAGACTTAGGATGATTTTCATTCTGATATGAGTTTTCTTGGTCTTTTAAAAGTCAAAAATCACTAAGATCATTTAATCTGAATTAAATGCTAAATTTAATTCACTGCTTTGTTTTCCCATTATGAATTATAAAAGTTGTGTAGAGACATTTGGAGGAGTAAGAACTTGATAAGAGTTTCTCAAATAACTGGAATAGGAGACACGTACATCCAGATTGTGTTTCTCACTTTGAAAATACTGGTATTGAGGCTCATTTTAGGATTTCAGCACCTGTTTTGAACATGCCTATAGCTTTAGGAACTTAGGGCTTTTTTCCCCTAGAGGAAGGGGTGAGGCAGATTTATGAGGAAGCTGGAGGTTCGGTTTTTATGGCATTTCTAGTTCCAGAATGGTTGCCTTTAAGGACCTATATTAAACTGGGGACAGTGAGTTAATCTTTGAATCTGCATTCTCTTGTGTCTGCATCTGCCATTGTCACTACAGAGGAATGCCCAAATGAAGCATGTCTCCTATTCCTGAACTACCATTGCAACTTGATCCATAGTATACTCAAGTTGTCACTTTTATGTGTGTGTGTCCTAAACCCTGACTTGAATAACCTCAGAGCAAGCTGTGGTTTTTAGATGAAGGACTTTCTAAGTTTTCTTACATATTATTAATAGTTAACAGTGCTGCATCTACTGAACATAAATGACAGTGGAGTCTTTCTGAGACCCAGCTTTACTCCCCAGTCTCCTTCCTTCTTTCCTAGTAGTTGTTAGAAGGTTACAAACTTTTCACCCTATCAAATATGACAGCCAGAATGATGTTTCCACATTTTATATAATTGGATATCAATGGAAAACACCTCATCTTTTATTGGTGTTGAATACTTCAAGAAACGTTTGCATTCTCAGCTCCCTCTTGGAGCTGTCACCTCTGTCCATTTGAGTTCCAGTCTCTTGAGTAATCATTACTCTCAAGCATTTATCGACTACCTACTGTGTGCAAGGCTCTGAGACAGAGTTCAGAGCTGCAGCTGGCAGCAATCAAAGATTTTGCTCTTATGAAAGCTGCAGTGGTACTATACTTCCCTAGTATGTGTGATGCCCTGGGTTATATCCCCAACACCACCCCCCCCCCCCAAAAAAAAAAAAAGGAAGTCAAGTTGCAGTTCAGTTGAGATAGTAAAACATGTATGAAAAGATGTGGTTGTATGGGCAGTAAATCCTATGGAACTGAAGCAGCAAGAAAGGTCCCAGAGATGCCTCCTTTGACTTTTCCACAAAGGAGTGTGCAAGACCTCTGGAGAAAAGAATAAAACTTTGCTGATGGATACAGATGATTTGAATGTATATTCTTATCAGGGTCCTGGATAGGACCCCGCCAGACTGATGAAGAAAAGATAACACATTCCTCCAGATTAATTTATTAATTCAGAATGTTAAAGACAACTGAGAAATAATCTGTAGTATATGTAAATGACAGAAGGTTACTATCCATATTAAAGTAGTCCTACAGGTAAAAACAACTTGATAGAAAAATGAACAAAGTTGGCAGTTTACAGAATAGTAGAAGACCAATTAAGCATAAAAGAATGCCCAGTCACTAGAAGTTTGGAGGTTAGATATTAAAATGACAGCAAATACTGTTTATATGCCTGCTGGGCAGAAAAAGGTTAAGAGAGGTTTAAAAGGTCTAATGTACGAAAGGTATGAAGAAAGGGGCCTTCCCATCTGGTGTTAATGGATATGTAAATTGGCATGTTCTTTCTAGGAGATATTTGACAATATTTACCAAATTTGAAATGTTCATGTCTTTTACTCCAACAATTCTAGGGAATCTGAACTACAGAAATTAGTGTGTGAATAATTGGCATTTGGGTACAAAATGTTTGTTGAATATAAATAAGTACAGAATACTGCTACAGATACAAAGATGTTTGTGCAGGATTTATAACAAGAAAAATTATAAACAATAATGGAGTGGTTGCACAAATTGTGGTATAGCCACATTGAGGAATACTATGCAGTCATTTATAAAGAACAAGGCAGAGCTAAACCTGTTAATAGGAAAAGATGAATCTGAGATACTTAGTTCAAAAGGCAAGTTGGAAGGCTCAAAATTGGCCCCACTTTAACAGTAAACATGCAAACACATAGGAAAAAAACTTTAAAAGTTACACTTAAAATGGAGATGGCAGGGTTGTTCAAGAGACTTTTCACTTTTTATTCCATATATTTTATCCCACTTGAAATTTTCAATAAAATAATTTACATGGATTTTTTTTTTAAATAAGAAAAAAAATGATACAACAGTATGTAATGAGCTGTCATTTCTCAAGCATTTGCAGTGGCAGGTATATTATATTATAAAACTTTAACTTCTCTTTTGATTCCCACAGTTAGTATAATTTTTCCCCATTTGACAGATACAGAGGGTATTTGACAGATACAGAGGGTAAGGTCAGGGTGATATATAATGGAGCCTGTACCACAAGTGGCCGAGTTTGAACCTAGAAGCTCTAGATCCAAAGCCTCATTTTTCCTAAGTCACATTCTGTAATAAGAGAAAAAAGCCTTGTTAAGAGGTTGTTCTTAACCACTAAGCCAAGAATTCCAGGGAACATCCAGATCCTTTGAGAGTGGATAGGAGCACAGTTGCAGTGCTGCCCTGAGGACTGTCCTGTGGTCTGACTTGCATTGCTTTGTTGTATCCCTGCTATTACCAGGAGAACAATTCCTGGACTTTTTTTTTTTTTTTTTTTGGTTGAGGAATCTATTCAACCAATAGAAATGTAAGGAAAGACGCCTTTCACTTGCAGTATAATAACATACAATGAGGTATATAGTTTAGGCTTTTATAAACTTCACTTGACCCTGTGGGAAAAGACCAGAATGATGTTAAATTTAATGAATTATTTCCATTTGGCAAGTTATTCTCCTGAATGTGTAACTTGGTGCATTTTGTGTTAGGACGCCAGTTTCTGAAACCTTTACAGTTGAATATTCTATAAATACATATTACATGATACAGTCTTAGCAAGGAGGTATTGGCTGGGGGTAGAGGTCAATGTTAGAGTGCTTGTCTTGAAGACACGAGGCCCTGGGTTCCATCTCAGTACCACCCCCCCCCCAAAAAAAAATAAATAAAAAATAGAAATAAAACAGGGAGGTAGCCATTCTGACTTAGCAGTTATTTCACATGACCAGGTGATTTCTGCCCCATTCCCTTCTGTCTTCACCTGGTATATCTGCCTTTCTGGGAATTCAGGACAGTTTTGCAATTTTAAAGCGTAAAGCTGCTACTTGTTAATCAAGATTCAGACTAGGGGGCTGAAGTTGTGGCTCAGTGGTAGAGCGCTTGCCTAGCATACATGAGGCACTGGGTTCGATTCTCAGCACCGCATGTAAATGAATAGAATAAAAGTTCTGTCAGTATCTGAAAGAAAAAACAAAAAAGATTCAGGCTAGGGAGAATTGTGTAGAACTATTCATTTCCCAGCATGCTGGTTCTTGCATGGAACAGGACCTGTCTCCTCGGTTCCATGCTCACCCTGGGGTCTTTCCCACCCTCTAGCTGGTAGTAAATTAGGGCAGAACTTATATAGCACATTGTCTGTTTATAGTCATAGAGACACAGTGGGACTTGGAAATTCTTCAGAAGTATTATCCCAAAATACCACTCGAGAATTTCCCATATGACATGGAAATATTTTCTGGACCCTGCTGTGGGTCAGGCCCAGTGCCCAGCACAGGAAATATAAAATGGAATAAGGTACGACCCCAACCTTTAGAGATTTCTGTGTCAGGTGGGAGTTTGAGGGGAGAGGAGAGGCAGGAACCAGGTCATCACAATGTATCTTTATAGCTCTCTAATAGGAGGTAGCCCAGCAGTTGATATGAAGGAGTTCCCATTGTATGCCTGCTGAATGAATGCCAACCATTGAAGAAGGGCATCTCAGAGATGACCTCCCAGGGGAGGTGATAGGTGAGTTGGGTTACAAAGGGGAAGGATCAGAGCTATATGATGGTTCTAAGTTTTTAGTTTGGAATGCTGAAAAGAAGGCTTAAGTCTGCTTGGCTTCCAAAGCTCCGTTAGAATAAACTCTGTACATCAAAATGTACCCATCTCTATCCTGTAAGTTTTAATTTAAAATATTAGAATGAGCCACATAGCAAATGTCTTCAACAGATTCCAAATGTGAGCTGTCTGCTCCCTTTTCTTTCCACATCTTGTATTCTCTTTCCAGTTTTTAGTACCAACTTCATTGTTTATCCTTTGGAACATTGATCTCTGATAGAAAAAAAAAAGGGTCTTTATTACTGAGGAAAGGCTATAAACAAAGCACCTTATGGCCTGCATCGCCATTGACCCTCAAAATGGGTTTCTGTTGATCAATTTGGAAAGACAGAGTCATCTTTTTCTAAATTTTGATTGCTTTGTGTATAGGCTGGAACTGCAGTTACTTACATTTAAAAAATAACATTCTTAATCCAGGCTCTTAATTTTAGCAAGCTGCAGATGCTTATAAAATGCATTGAAAAACAATGTAATTTTCATGTTCCAGAGGAGTGTTGCTAATGACTTAAATGCAGTGACATTTGAAATGTGTAATGATATGAAGTTTTGCATTATAGTTGAGGGTGGGTAGATTCTGGTATCTAATCAGCTTTCAGTTTCCTTAAAGAATTTGCCCAGTCTCCATAGTTCACACCATTTGTCACATAAACATTTGGTCAAATGTAGATGTCAGAAAAGCCATGTGAACTATTCTCTCTCAGCTGAGTGTGGATGTACTGCTTTGGAGATGGGTTGGTGGTAGAAATGAAAACAGTTTCAAGTTATGCCAAAGTTAGACACATCTGAAGACTGCCTGTAGTTGTAGGTTCCTACTCTTGTGTTTATCATAGCATCCAGGAATATGTTTAAACAAATATCAGATTGGTTGTGTGATGGATCTTAAATGATGGAGTTTCTGAAAATCAGTACATCCAAGTAAATGCTGTTTTCAGCAAAGTAGTCACCTTGGGAGGTCATGCCATTTTTTCCAGGGGATGCAGGGTTATTGCTCAGATTCTTACCTAAAACAGTGTTCCTCAGTTGAATCCTCATCTCCTTAATTAGAGTAAATTCTAACTCTATACTCAAGAGATTTATCACATGGATATACACTTTTTAAGTGGAAAGAAAGATCTGAAGGTAAAGACAAGTTACAACACAAACAGCACAATTATTAAAAGAAATTTATTCCTACCTAAGGTGACATATTTGAGAAGTATAATGTTAATGTTCATTTGAAGAATATGTCTAGGTATGTTGGAAATGGTGTAACAAAGTCATTTTCCTAAGTTACCAGTCATAGTAAGACAAAGTTGATGGAGCCTTCCAAAAGGAGTGTGTTCGGCGGGGGTGGGGGGGTTGTGGCTCAGTGGTAGAGCGCTTGCCTAGCATATGTGAGGCACTGAGTTTGAGCCTCAGCACCACATGAAAATAAATAAATAGATAAAAATAAAGATGGGGCGGGGAAGGAGTGTGTTTAAGAGTTGTCAAAGGAAAGAAAATTGAAACTGCTCTTGTTTACTCATCCCCAAAGCTCAGCCTTTGACCCCCAAGTGTTCACTTTCCCTATCTGCACTTCTTGCACAGTGTGATCTCAGGAGTTGTAAAGCTCTCCAGGGCTTTTCTAATGCTTTACTTTTGTTTCTTTAGGTATTTCTGGGAAAAGCCAGCTTCTGTTTGCACTGGTCTTTACAACTCGTTACCTGGATCTTTTTACTTCATTTATTTCATTATATAATACATCTATGAAGGTATGGTATGGCATCTGGTAGGATGTATTTTATCTGTAATATACAGATCTATGGAAGCTGTCAATTTATGTCAGTTTTTTTTTTTTCTTTTTTTTTGGTTTAGTTTTGGGGTACTAGGGATTGAACTTGGGGAGTTATTCATCCCTAGTTCTTTTATTTTTTATTTTAAGACAGGACTCACTAAGTTGCTGAGGCTGGCCTCAAACTTGTGATCTTCCTGCCTCAGCCTCCTAAGCTGCTGAGATTATAGGCATATGCCACCACACCCTGCTTCCCTGGTTCTTTTTATTTTTTATTTTGAAACAAGGTCAGAGTTGCTTAGACTGGCCTTGAACTTGTGGTCTTCTTGCCTCAGCCTCCTGAATATCTGGGAGCTTGTGTTTTTTTAATTAAAAATCTCCAAGAATACTATCTAAATATGCTGTTGTGTTCTTAAAAACTTTTAGACCACCTTCTGTGTATAACTTGAAATAGTTATCATTAAGCATACATTTCTGTTTCAAAACAATCATTTAAAGTACTTTTACTTAGAGGTTTTAAAATTTAAGTTCCTTAAATATGATAGAGCTTCTAAAGCTCTTGATAACCCTGTAAGAAAGAGGGATTTTCAAGCACTGGGAAATTATAGACTTCCCAGAGAAACATAGCAAGTCAGTACATAATGAGGAATTAAAGCTGGAACTTCTGGTTGTAGAGTCTTGTTTTGCTGCTGCGTATAATCTTGCACTTTTTTTCTTTTTTCCACTTAGTTTTTCCTAAACTTCTGTGTTTGTGCTCTCATTGTTTATTTTGTCATGTTTAAATAATGTCTGCACCACAATTTACTTAATAATATGTTTTAAACCTTTTAACTTGTCCTAAGCATTCATATCCATGACACCTTTGGTGTCCTTTTATATTTCTTTTAATTCATGTTAAAGCAAATGAGTAACTATTAAAATACAAAATGCTGCATACCCCTAACATTTATATACACTGTGGTCATAGTTCACACTTGAGGAAGCACTGCCTCAGTTCTTTTCCACAATCATTGAGCTTGTGTTATAAATACCTACAGAGTTAGGCACTGAGCATTTGATTTGAAAAATAAGCAAGTCTTATAGTCTGGTGTGGGAGAAGAGGCAGATCATCCCAGCACTAAATAAATGACTGCAATTTGTGATGGACGCAATGAAGGAAAAGTAGAGAGGTTTTCAGGATGTGTAATAGGTGTCTGATTTCTTTCTTTCATTCATTCATTCTACAAAATCCGAGCACCTGGATGCTGGACATTGTTCTAGTTATTTGGTTATAGCTACACCTAAGGAAGTAATATTTAAGTTGAAGCCTGTTGGTGTGGAATTTCAGTAAGTGTCCCCCCAGCACATTGTGTTCAAATGTGTATTTTAAGCACCATTAAAATAAACAAAGCAATATTTGAATTTGTGTTCTTTACTAAAAATCAAATTTGACTTGGTGCCGTGGCCTAATTCTAGCTCTTGGAGGTTGAGGCAGGAGGATTGCAAGTTTGAGGCCAGCCTGAGCAACTTAGCAAGACCCTGAATCAAAATAAAATGTAAAAATGACTTGGGATGTAGCAAAGATAATAAAGACAAAGATGTTCCATCTTATCACTTCTAGTCAAAATAGTGGAGGTTCTAATTGTTGCAATAAAATAATAGAACATACATACAAATTGGAAAAGAAGTAGTAAAACTTTTTATCTGCAAATGATGTGATCACCTGTATAAGAAATCCTACAGAACCTATAAAAAAAACTACTAGAACTAGTTAGTTTAACACAACGGCAGGATACAGTATCAATCCACCACTACCTCAAAAAAAAAGAAGGAAGGGGGAAAAAAAGCAAATTTGAGTCACCTGTAATCATTCCATTCTTTACTAAGCAATGGAAACCTAGTAATCAGGAAACAATCAACTGTCTTAAAAATGGCTAAGTCCCTGCTTGGTGCCTGGGCAAACTGAAACTGCAGGCATTAAAGGTATGTGAGCCAGAATCCTCTACCTCCTCTTTAGGAGTACCACCTTTCAGAGGAATTCTTCTGGTTTGCTTGATTGCAATTCCTAAGCATTGTGTCCTGAAAGCTGGTGGAGTTAGACCCAAGTTGTACATCCTCATGTTTTACTTGAACTTTAAGCACTAGTGAGAGGAGACGAACAGCTGTTGTTTCCCAGTGGCTGCTAAGGCCTGGATGGACCGAACCTCCCTGGCTCCACCTGGCCTGCTGGGGCCCCTGGCTGCCAGGAGCCTCTTCTGCATATGTGCCAGAAGAGGGCACAGTGTAAATGCACATGTATATGTACTTTATTTATGCATGTGTATGATTATGACTGACAATTTGAATAGTGTTGACTGTTTACTTTCAAATATAACTGTATAATATACCAGGGACTCTTTAATGTCTTTGTGGGTTGTTTACATTGTTTTTAGGCATATGAAGGCTTGATGATTGCTCTCATTTTCCTGTTAAGTAGTTTGCCCAAATGTTTTTCTAATTGTTTGTCAAGTCATATTTCCTAAGGAGAAGTAGTACCAAGTAGGGTGGTCCCTATCCCAGTTGTCTCTATGCACTAAATCTGCTGTTGATTCTTGAGCCTAAATTTCTGCAATTTGAAAATTGATGTAATTTCAGCATATCAGACCTTTTTCCTTGGTCAGGTGACTAGATGATATTTGACCTTTTAAAGATGAAAGAACACATAACTTAATTGTAAGTCCTTGAGCAGTTATACTGCCATGTGCACAAAATCATTCCCTTAGAGGCAGCAATGTTTTCCAAATTATCATTAACTTTAGGTTTTGCTTTTGTTATGTTACCAAACCATTTCATAACAATTTTCCAAATGTTCAGTGTTAAAAGTAACATAATTTAAGTAAATCATCATGGCAGAGTTTAACTTGAATTGCATTGCATCTTTTCTTTACAAAAATGCTAGCCAAGGAATATGCTAGAAGGAAGTTCATGGGTTTTGAACTGCATTGAACTTTTTTTTTTCTTTAATCTGCTGTAATAGTAAGATGAGATTAAAGTTTATTTCTTTGGCAGTTTTATTAAAAAGTGAAACTTACAGTTGACATTTGACCCAACAAACCCACTCCTAGATATAAAACCAAGAGAAACGAAAAGTTATGTTCTCATAAAAGCCTGTAACATGTTGATAGCAGCGTTGTCCACCACCCTTCCACACTGGAAACCATCTAGCTGTCCTTTAACTGGTGAGTGAATAGACAACTTATGATGTGCCCTCACAATGGGCCAGTACTCATCAATAAAATGGATTATTAATGCTATGCTGGACACAGTGGCCATTCCTATAATCCCAGCTACTCTGGAGGCTGAGGCAGGAGAATGGCAGATTCAAAACTAGCTTGAGCAACTTTGTTAGATCTGTCTCAAAATAAATAGCTGGGGGTGTGGCTCAGTGGTAGAACACCCCTGAGTTCAATCCCCAGACAGTGGAGGATGGGAAGCAACTAGTTTGTTGGCTTTCAGATGCATTGTGCTAACTGAAAGAGGCCACATGCAAAAGGCAACATGCTGTCTGACTTCATTTATGTGGCATTCTAGAAAAGGCAAAGTGGGACAGGGATGATTAAAGGTGAAGCCTGGAGAGGCTTGACTTTGTACAAAGACAGGATGATGGAATTTTGGGTTTAATGGATAAAATTTCCTGTTTATATCACTCAGAAGTATACATCTCCCCAAAGTGAATTTTACTATGTTTAAATTAAAAACAAAAACAAACAAAGCAACTGGTGATGTAGAAAGCTGAGGAGTTGAAACAATTGCAATGTATTGACAACCTGGTATTTTTCTTTTGGTTTTAGCTTATCTATATTGCCTGCTCTTATGCCACGGTGTACCTGATCTACATGAAATTTAAGGCAACCTATGATGGAAATCATGATACCTTCCGAGTGGAGTTTCTGGTGGTCCCTGTGGGAGGACTCTCATTTCTGGTCAATCACGATTTCTCTCCTTTAGAGGTTAGTTAAGGTCTTATTTAGTAGTCATGTCTGGTTCTCTAAGGAAATAAACCTATATGCAGATAATGTGGAGTTTTGTTTTTGTTTTTCAGGTAAACTTCTGATGCAACATGAACTATTTGGTGTAAATATATTATAGACAGGAATTAAAGCATGCAAGTATTTGGGTATCTGTTGACAGCTTATCCCCTGACTGTCCTTGAGAAAGAACTCAAAACTGTTTTATTATCTTAACTTCTGTGGTTCCAAACACAGCCCTGCCTGTCCTTGTGTTTGAAGATAATATGGTCTTCTCCCTACTCTGACTAGGTTTTGTTTCCTTTCCACATATGGATGTTGCACACTGATTTTGTGTCTATGCATCTCCTAAGCAGCACTCCTAAACTTCTTACCCTTGGGGACAGTGATTTATGGTGCTCTTTACACTACAGTGGAGTGAATTGTTCCTAAGTGCCTCTTTCCCAGTGAAGAGCTGCTGATTAGCACCTTGGTGTTTACTAAGTTACTGCAGTGCTCTTGGTTGTCTGATAAATGCTGGGAGTGCCTAGACTACTTATAAGTCTTTCTTTTGTCAACATGAGCAAAGTACCACATCGGACAGAGTTTTCATAATTACACTTCCAATTTCTGAACCTTTTGATTTAACTACTCCTGAAAGCCTGAAGACTAATAAAAATATAAGTCCTTGACTTATGATGGGGTTGTATCCTGATAAACCCCTTGTAAGTTGAAAAAGTATTTAATAACATCTAACCTACCAGAAATCAGCTTAGCAACATATGGTACATTTTAGAATGTTGATTGTGTCCCCTTGGGATGGTGTGGTTTACTGGTGAGGCTGCTGCTGCTGCCCAACATTAAAGCAGAGTGTCATAGTGCATATCAGTAGTCTAGGAAAAGATCAAAATTCACAGTATCCTTCTACTGAGTGTGTATTGCTTTCACACAATCATAAAATAATAAATTATAAGTCGAAAATTTATGTCAGAGGTCACCTGTAAGTGAAAAATATAGGAGTCTGGAAAAGATCAATTGGTAAGGAAAAACAGCAGTGATGAAGTAGAAGGAACACAGTTATCAATATTTTTTTTTTCTTTCATTTTGGGGATGGAACCCACGGGGGCACTTTACCACTCAGCTTCATCTCTAGCCCATTTTACTTTTTTTTTTTCCTCTAATATTTATTTTTTAGGTGTAGATGGACACAACACAATGCCTTTATTTTTATGTGGTGTTGTGGATCAAACTCGGGTCCCACCTGTGCTAGGTGAGTGCTCTACTGCTGAGCCACAATCCCAGCCCTACCATTTTACTTTTTATTTGGGACAGGGTCTCATGGAGTTGCTGAGGCTGACCTTGAACTTGTGATCTTCTTGTTTCAGCCTCCTGAATTGCTGAGATTACAGGTGTGAGCCACTGTGCCCAGTGAACTATTGGTATTATTAACCCTGGCAGAAATCAGGGCTGATTGAAGACTCTAGATTTAGAGTAAAACATGCTTGTCCAGGAGGAACATCTTACATGTAGATTCATAGAATGTTATACAGGGAAAAATAAGGTGTTAGACAAGGTAGTGAAAATCCAGAGGTAAAGGTGTCCAAGTTACCCAGCTTGTCTTGGGCAGTGCCCATGTTGCTTAACTATCTGTGATGTATGTAGTCTCTATGCTGCTATTTGAGGCCGAGATGCCCATACCCAGACTTCTTACTCTTTAAGCTACTCTATAGTAAAGCAAGAGTATTTCCCCTGAACATGTGGTGGGCACAAAATCCTGACTGAAGTTTGCCCTTTCTCTTCCAGATTTTATGGACCTTCTCCATCTACCTTGAATCAGTGGCCATCCTTCCACAGCTCTTTATGATCAGCAAGACTGGGGAGGCTGAGACCATCACTACCCACTACCTGTTCTTCCTGGGCCTCTACCGTGCTTTGTATCTTGTCAATTGGATCTGGCGCTTCTATTTTGAGGGCTTCTTTGACCTTATTGCTGTAGTGGCTGGTGTAGTCCAGACCATTCTATACTGCGACTTCTTCTACTTGTACATCACAAAAGGTATGTTGGGTCTGGCCTTCATGGTTCCTGTAGGCACATCCTTTATTGGGAGCTTGCTTACCATTTCCCTTGTCCAACTCTGCTTATCTGACACTATGACTCTCAGAACAGAACTGGCTTCAGGAAAATTCATTTTCATAGTTGTCAAATAAAATTCAAGATCAGGGCTTTGGTCTGATATATAGGACCTTTTTTCCTTTGGCTACAGTTCCCGCCCCCCCCCGAAATGGCACATTTTCATTATGAAAGATTCAAATCAGAATTAATTTCAAAAGATGGTCATCAAGATCCTACCCCTAAGAGATAATCACTGTTAACCCATTTTGTCCCATTGTCTGAGATAAAAACATATAATACATAATTATATAAGACATAACATAATCATATAGCAAAGATAATATAACAACTGTAATATGTGACATTAATATATAAGTTCCATATTGTTATTCCAGTTTATTTTAATGTGCCTGTGTCAATTTCATTGAAATATTTTCAGAATTGAAAAATTGAGATCTTTGATTAACGTTTCAATAATCATAATTCCAGATATTTTTTCTTTTCTTTTTTTTTTTTTTAAGAGAGAGCGAGAGAGAGAATTTTTTTTTTTTTTTAAATATTTATTTTTTAGTTTTCGGCAGACACAACATCTTTGTTTGTATGTGGTGCTGAGGATCGAACCCGGGCCACACGCATGCCAGGCGAGCGCGCTACCGCTTGAGCCACATCCCCAGCTCCAGATATTTCTTGAGTGTATACAGACACTTCATTTAAACTATATTTACTATTCTGTGATCTGCTTTTTTCCCAAGTCACATTTTTTCATGCAATAAATAGAAATTATCCATATAGACTTTCATTATGTGTTGTATATACTATAATTTATTTTTTTAATTTGCTGCTATTAAAATTCTGTGCTTAAATCAACCTCCTTATATGTACATTTATAGTTTCATGTTTGCATGAATATAAAATATGTGAACTTTACAAATATCTGATGAAAACTATGGTCCTTGCTCATAAAAAGTATATATTTATACATATGTACACAAATTCATGTGTATTGTTGTGGGGAATTCAGGAGTACCTAAAGCTATAACCACAGATTCCAACCTAAGTATCCTTGCTGTATAGTAACATTCCTCATGGTAGACTTGCTCCATAAAGGAACATATTTATCGTGTGTGTGTGTGTGTGTGTGTGTGTGTGTGTGTAGGAGGGTAGTGAGGATTGAACCTATGGGCACTCTACCACTGAGCTACATCCCTAGCCCTTTTTACTTTTTATTTTGAGATAGAGTCTTACTAGGTTGCTGAGGTTCTTGCTAAGATGCCTCAAACTTGGCATCTTCCTGCCTCAGCCTCCCAAAAGCATGTGCCACTACAGCCAACTTTAATATCCAAAATTTCAAGACCCCTTTCATAAGTCATATTTAATATATGTTGATGTGGGGGGGAAATCATAACAAAGAGTAGATGTAAATTTGGTGGTGCTTTTAGTTGAATTTATATTTTTTTAATGTAATTGCTTATATCCTTGTATTTACTGGGTAGAATCTTGTGTATGACAGCCTTCTAAGCATGAGAAAAAGGAAACTGAGGTTGTCAATATCAGTAACATTTTCTCTTCCTCTATTTACAATTCTAGTACTCAAGGGAAAGAAGCTCAGTTTGCCAGCGTAAGTGCCAAAGACCATCAGCAGCCTCTGTCCTTCAGGGTGCGTGGACAGAATTCTTAACCACAGCAAAGGCATGAGATGCTTGATGCGGAAAATCAGAAACTTAACTCTTTTGTTGCAGACAGTCATCAGTGGCTCTGTAAGAAAGCAGAGGAAAAGAACCAGAAGGTTTCTGTTTAATGCATCTTGCCTTATCTTTTTTTATTACTATGTACAAAGATTTTTTTACACAAAGAAACTTAATGCTGTATTAATAAATTCAGTGTGTAGTTTAATTGGGATAGTTCCAAAAGTGATGATTTTTTGTGAGGAATAAGTGCAAACTTTTTTATTTTTAAAAATTCTTGGAAATTGTTGATTGTGTCTGCAATGAAATCGTACTCCTTGGCAGTTGGTAGATTATCTATTCTAACATCTATCAAACTTGCATTCCACTATATTTATTTTTTGCCAAAAAGATGAGTTATTTTTGTTTGAAATCTGAGACACTATGTTGAATTTTGTTTATCTGTCCAAATTTATTTCTGCCAGCCGTGGAAATCCTTCTGTGGACATCACAACACTACATTTAAGGTTAGTGATGGTGACTTGCAAGTCTTTCAGAACCAAATTTTAAAGTTCTGAATGTAGATGGGGTGTCAACTAAGAGTCACCAAAGGTGCCTGCCCTCCTCCCCTAAGACTGTTAGTCTCAGTTTGGGACTATCCCAAGAGAACCGAAGAATTAATGGGCAGGGGCTCTGGACTGCTTGCCCTCCCGGTGTGTGATGGGAGGGACTGTAATGATTACTTTAGATATGAGACTCTATTCCTCTGAGGAACAGAACACAATTTGTTATCTCTCAGCAGTTCCCAAAAGATTGCCACAACCATGTCCTTGCTCAGATTCAAACGGTTTTTCCTATCACTCTTGGGTGGTAAAGTGATTTACAATTTTTTTAAATTGACAATACCAATTACCATTCCTTATATTCTTTTTTTTTTTTTTAACTGAGCTCTTGCATGACTTATGTTATCCCAAATAAACATTTTATTAAATACAGAATAAATTTGTCTTTTTTATGAATTAGGCTTTTGAACATCCTATATTGGGATGATTTGTTTTTAATTTGGCAGCAAACATTTCACTTAACAATCTTAAATCTTTCTGTATTTTGTGGAGAAACTAGAATTTTTCTTTCTGATTTTGCCATTATATTGACTTTTTATTGATTTATGCAAAAGTATATGACTTTGTTTTTATATGATGCCCCATCAGTATGAAAGTGTTGAATACTAACAGTGCTTACCACAAGGAGGATGTAGTATTTTGCTTCCTGCATTAAAATGTCTTGTGGAGGAAGGGAGCTGGATGAGTTGTATGTTCATTTAGTGTGGATTATAATGTCTTTCTAAATTGGCAGTATAATTGCATAGTTTAACCCTCATTTTATTTTCCCCTCTTGCTTCATATTTTTTGCTTTGTGTAGCAGTCTACCTGTCTTCCCAGCATCCTAATCTTGGTTTAATGGCTGTGTTCTGTTTTCATCCTCCTTGGGATAATTCTGAGAGTAAGGAGGAAAGGTGGGACATTGAGTGGCAGTAGGTCAAGCAGACTGCTTGCTGCTCAGACTTGGGGTGGGGTGGGGTGGGTGGGGCCAATTCCTGTCTTTGCGCATGCAAATCGGATAAGCTGGGATGCACAGAACAAGCACCAAGCACAGGACAAGATCTGGAACCTCAACATGTCAAAGCCTCCTGAGATCCTTATTCCTAAGTAAATATCAAATTGGCTAAGATGTCACCCCATTTTATGGTGAATCAGGATGACATTTTATTAAGGAGGGTGCTTGAGCTGGAGTGCGGGACTGGGCCAAGTCCTCATGTGTTGGAAACAAAGGCCTTTCCTTGTCTGACACGCCTTATGAAGCACTGTTTTCTTTCACTTCTTGAATAAAGGTTATCAGGTAATTAGTATTTTTCATTGAGGTGTTTTATGTGTGTATGTGTGTATTTTCTTTGTTTCTTTTTGTAGTATTGGGGATGGAACCCAGAGCTTTGGCCCACGCTAAGCGAGTACTTTACCACTGAGTTACACTCTTGGCCTATGTGTGTGTGAGGTGATAACTGTTAAAACTCATGGACACCGATCCATTCCTATCCAGTTCAGTCGGAGTGTTTGAATCATGTTTCCTGCTGCCTTACATTCTTCCGAGAGCAGAGGTAGAGAAATAAGTTTGATAGAAATCATAGTGCTTTGTGGGAACTGTAAATAAGAAAAGCATGAGCTTTGGGATTAGATTTGTGTTAATGCACTTGCAGCTCTCTGGGCACGGAATCTCAAGAGTCTTGTTCTCCTGTTACGTGGAAAATTACTGCCACAGGCTTTCTATGAGGCTGAAAAGAGCCCCTGTTTTGGGATGGGGGAGGGAAGAATGGATTAGACAAAGGGGAATGAAGGAAGGGGGGGATGGGAAAAGGAAAGAGTAGAATGAATCGGCGATAACCTTCCTATGTTCATATATGAATACACCATCAGTGTAACTTCCCATCATACAACCACAAGAATGAGATCCTAATAAGTTATACTCCATGTATATATAATGTCAGCTCTACTGTCATGTATATCTAAAAAGAACAAATTTAACAACAAAAAGCCCCTGTTGGTCAAGCTCACAAACCCAAGCTTGGTACATATAAATCACTTCCAAGACTCTCTTTCCTCTCCTATTCTTTAGAGATAGCACCCCCCAAAGCTGGCTGATAACTGGTACTGGAAGAGCCTTTCCTGGCCAGTTAATGACACTGGTCAATTCTGCTCAAAATACTTGTCAGAGAGGAATAGATGAGGAGTAACTAGTTGACTCTTGGTGCCTTCCCAAATGGCCCCTCAGGTTAAATGGTGAATGGATTGGGGCTTCAAGAAGATTTTGCTCTTTCTTCTCTTTAGGGGTCAGTCATACGTGGAATTTCCAGGGAACCTGAACTCTGGGATGGGTTTCCCCACCTGTCTGTGTTAAATCTTTTTATAGTATAGACTTTTTGTTTGTTTGTTTTTCTATTTCCAGTATCGGGAATCAAACCACTGCTTTACCACTGAGCTCTATCTCCATTCCCTTTTTAAAAAAAATTTTGAATTCTTTAAAAAGAGTCTAAGTTGCATAGGGCCTCACTGAGTTGTGGAGGCTGGCCACCTCAAACTTGAGATCCTTCTGACTTAGCCTCCTAACTCAGATTACCTGTGTGTCCTACTGCGCCCAGGCACAGTGTACAATCTTGGTATAGGTTCTTTGGGTGTTTCTTCAGGTTTGAAGTATTGGCTGCTTTTATAACTGCAATTTAAAAGCTAGGTGCAACATGGTACTCATTAAATGATAAAGCAAGGATAGTTTTTTTGATAATCTTATTAACTTTTCATCTAACCAAAATGTCTGACAAACACAACTTAGAGGTGGAAATTTTATTTTGGGCTTATGATTTAAGGGGGTCTTACTTAGTCCATGATCTCCCAACTGTATTACTCTTTACTCCAGGTGAGGCAGAACATCAGTGGTGGTAAGGTGCACTGCACACAGGAAGCAGAGTGGGCAAGGCGCCAGGGACAAAACATCAAACCCAAAGGCAGGTCACCGCTCTCCGCCCCCCAATTTTCTCCAGTCATGCCTCATCTGCCTACACTTAACACATAGGACAGTAGTCCTTTTAAATTATTAACCCATCAAGTTAATTGAACCACTGATTAAATTATAGCTCTCACAATCTAATCTTTTCATCTGTGAACATTGTTACTTTAACTCAAGAGCTTTTGGGGGACACCTCATATTCAAGCCATAACATACTAAAATAGCACTCCAAGTCTCTGTCCTACTTTCACCTCCAGCACTTAAAGGGTGTCTTAGTCAACCCAACGCCACATTTGACTCTGCTGCCAGAATAGAATGAAAAGATAAAACCTATTTATTCTCCTAATAAGGTTTCTATGACATGAATGGGTCTCTCATAAGGAAATTGTGTGTCTGAAACAAAGTTAACTTCAGGATCTGAGAACTCAAGATATCAGGACATTACAGAATTCTTTTTTTTTTTTTAATGTAATTTTTAAAATTTTTATATGACAGCAGAATGCATTACAATTCCTACTACATATAAACAGCACAATTTTTCATATCTCTGATTGTATACATAGTATATTCACACCAATTATCAACTATCCAAATTCAGTAGGCAAGAATGGCAAAAGCTAAATGCAAAGATATTCATTTTTTCCAAATTAGGATTGACTCTAATCAAAGAAAATCAAGTACTAAATGGAAAAATAGAGGAAGGTATGAATTAATTTCGAAAAATGAAAGATTCAAGATGCTTATCCCCTTGAATATAATGATGAAGTACCAAATCTTGTAGACTGCTTCTTGTAACTTGCAAATAGTGAAGTTAACCTAAAAGAAAAGCAGACAAGGATATCAAAGATGTTCATTTTTCCAAAAGTCTTACTTTTGGAAAAATAGAATATCATAGGATTTTATCCCTTGTTAAAGAGACCTGGTGAGTTGTTAGGTTTCGGGAAACTCCTCTATATCCGAAACATTTTCCTCATGAAAAAAAAGGCATGAGGGTGCTTTGCCTTCTAAATAGCTATGCTTTGATCTGGATGGTTCATTTTGAAAGAAAGATTTCGATTTCTTTTTTTCTTTTTGTATTGAGGAATTGAACTCAGGGACTGTTGACATATCCACAGGCCTATTTTGTGTTGCTTAGTGTCTCGCTGTTACTAAGGCTTGGCTTTGAACCCAGGATCCTTCTTTCTCAACCTTCCAAGCTGCTGAGATCACAGGAATGTGTCTCAGCGCCGGCTTTAATTTCTTTTTTAAAGTACACTATCCACCTGGTCATGGGGCCTGCACAGGTGTAGGGGGCGCGGGGTGGCGGGGTGTGTGGGGGGTAGTTGCATGGCGGCAGTGCGCCTGCCCGGAGTTGCTAGCTGGTAGAGTGAAAACCACAAGTGCACCTGGATGGAAGAATTGGAGACCATTGGTCGGCAATTATGACCCGGCTCCCCTGTGCCAGGTCTCAGTGGTGCTGTTGATGTGACCTTGGACACAGCCTCCCTCCTCCGTCCTCAGTTTGACATTTGCACAATGAGGACAGCAACCTCACCTACCTGCTTCCTGGTGGTAAGGACAAGGGAACACAAGGGAAGCGCGGTGACAGAGTCAAAGTTCTGCAGGCTGGCGACTCTTATCACTGTCTCAGGTGACCCCGCGACCCCGCTCCTACTCAGTGCGGACAGCACTCGCACGAACTTCTTGAAGAACGGAGTGAAAACCACGTAATCGCTGGAAAAGTCCCAGCGCTAGCGGAAGGGTTTACCAGTTGCATATTTCTGAGGCAGGATGGACAGTTTCCAGCAGGCTGACATTTTATTTGCTAGCTTAGGGTCTGAAAGGGATTTAAATGGATTCAGCAGGCATTGAAGAAGAACAATGATATAAGCCTAGAAAGTGTGGGGGGGGGAGGGGGAGAAAGTCATAACTCTTTAGTTGACTTAGTGTATCTTTCACTGATGAAAATTATATTCCACAGTCAGACTTACCTTATTTTGGGAAATATTAACTCCCTTTACTTCTTTGTGTCATGTTTTATAAAACAGTTCCTTTGATTTCATTTCTCACCCCCCTGTTTCTGGGCAGGTGGATTGGCATTCTAGTTTTGTATGTCACATATAAAGGGAAACTAGATGTGCTGATGAAATCCTGCTGAGCAGTTACTTGATCATCCTCATGGTCCTCTGGCAGTTGTTATAGATACTGTGTCAGCCATCTTGTGTGTGAGCATGAAAGGTGAAAAGTAGCCATTTATATTTGACACCTATTTCTTTTTATTTATGTTTTCCTAAGCTTAGTGAGATGTAATAGAGAATTATACAATAGGATCAGGGTAGCCCTGAAATTGCAGCCATTGGTGAGAAGGGCAAGTAGACTGGAAAACTTGGAGCTTATAGCTGGTTTCTGAACACAGGGCAGCGTAGAGGGGGCCAGTGGGCTCAACTTGTAGTGTGTGACCTCCATGCAATTGATCAGCATTGGAATTGCATTGCACAGTGCCTTTTTTTTTTTTTTTTTTTGCTTTTTTAAAAATTAAGAACATTTATTTTTAATACCTTTATTTTATTTTTATGTAGTGCTGAAGATCAAACCCAGTGCCTCACGCGTGCCAGGCAAGCACTTTACCTCTGAGCCACAATCCCAGCCCACGGTACCTGTCTTTAATGACTTCCCTTCATGGAACTTTTACCTCTTCAGTTGCTCCACTCACCCAACCACCATCCCTCTTGTAACACATTCAACCAGCCTTAAGCTCATTGCAT